ATGGTGTTGTCTAGGCATGTAAGGGTATGGAGTTTTACAGATGCATGCTAGAAGACCATCTCTCTTTACCTTATACCCTTGAAACAGCGTCTCTCATTGAAACTGCAGTTAGGTTGGTGGCCTGCAGGTCATAGAGAGCCTTTTCTGTGTGTCTCTCAGAGCCGTAGCTTTATAGGAACAAAACCAGCTGTGCCTGGCTCTTTAAAGTGAGTTCATGCTTAGGTGGCAGACACTCTGACCCGCGGAGAGCCATCTCCTCAGCTTGGCATTCAGATTCTTATTGAGATTAGGTTCATATCATATTGGTATTCTGTCATTCCAGCTACCAGATAACCGTAAGAAAACCAGTTACATTGAGTGAAATGACAATATAAATTTTAAGTAAACTCTAAATCTGTGAAGAATAGGTATTATGTTTCTTTTAAATGTGTCCTTCTGAATACCTTAAAATTTGACCACTCCTTCTATTTAGTTGGTTCTTTTGAATATAAATGTGAAAAGGATTCACTGGAATTATTGTAGTGACACTGATAAGAACAGGCTGCATGAATAAGCCATGTGGAGAGTGGAGAGATTGCCATATAATTAGATTCATTACTGAAAAATTTCAGCACTCATTCTCCATCAGAAGCACATCACTGCAGTGCGCTTGGTATTCTGGAATGTGCTTTTGATGCTCTATACATGCAGCAGCATTCCTCATGTCTATTAGCAGGTTAATTTTGGGCACAGCTATTCTTAGCCCCGTCCATCCTTTACAGATTTCTTCAAGTAATACGAAAGTCCATTATTTTAACAATGGTTTTCATTTAATGACTTAGCTTTTTACTTTAAGGTGTTACCTTTTTGACTATCAGCCCATAACCTCAAGTCCTCTCAAATTAGCACCCTCATACTTCTCCGTGTTGCCATCAATTATAGTGCTTGAAAATGAACCACATCTGAGAAAGAGTTTGTGTGTAGTTCAAACAACTCCTTTTTCTGCTGCATTGAAAATGAGTACGTGTTCTAAAATGTCCTTTTTAAGAATTCTGAGGTTTTAAAATATTTTTCTTTGACATACTCCTTTAGATACTATTTTTATAGCATTTTAGTGCATGTTGTCAGGAGGAAACAAATGAATTCATATAGACCATGAAGAAACTGTCTTTTCATGTTCTTCAATTCTCTTTTGAGATACTTCTGTTAAACTATATGCATTAAATTATAAAAAAAAAAAAACTACGCAGAATGAATAGATTTTTTTTTTATACTGCTGAACTTTAAAATTGGGGATAAGACATAATAATGCTGTTAAAATCTGGTTTTTGTCTTTTGCTTTTGGTTACGTGCATTCATGTGTGTGTGCATGTGTTTGCATGTGTGCATGCCTGTGTGTGTGCATGCCTGTGTGTGTGTATGTGTGTGTGCATGCCTGTGTCTGTGCATGTGTTTGCATGTGTGCATGCCTGTGTGTGTGCATGCCTGTGTGTGTGCATGCCTGTGTGTGTGCATGTGTTTGCATGTGTGCATGCCTGTGTGTGTATGTGTGTGTGTGCATGTGTTTGCATGTGTGCATGCCTGTGTGTGTGCATGTGTTTGCATGTGTGCATGCCTGTGTGTGTGCATGCCTGTGTGTGTGCATGCGTGTGTGTGTGCATGCCTGTGTGTGCATGCCTGTGTGTGTGTATGTGTGTGTGTTACTTGAGCTGTTTTTTATGTATAATGTTAATTTGCCATTGGAGGTTATACTCATTCACTGTTGTATGAAATGGCACAGCTAAGTGGTTTTTTGAAGGTCAATACAGTGATAGAGTTGCCATGAATTGTTATGGTTTCTTATTCCAGGTGACTCTGGTGTGGGAGAGCACTTACTGTTTGTGCTTAATCACATTTATTCCTTCAGCTCAAATGCAGGGAGCCCTTACATGCTTCAAATATTAGTAAAACAGTCTTCTCGTAACCTAAAATAATATAAATAGATCATTAGCCTAGTAACAGCAAATGGAACCTTTCACTTATGCTAAGAGTACTGTTTGAACAAAGTGTTTTGAATTTGCCACTGATGTCACCAGCTCCCATCTATTTGATCTATTCCTCATGTTGACAAGAGATTTTTACTGGATAGCTCACTTTATTAAATACTATTTCATTCTTGTGACTATTACACTGTAGTGCATTCCCTAATACAGTATTTCATGCCCACCTGTAATTCTTTAGATTTTTAAAATTTATTTTAATTAAATTAAATTGATGAAAATTAAGAAAATATTCAAGTTGTTAAAAACATGTCATTTTTAAATCTAGCTTTGTTTTAATAGCGATGATCTTTGGCAGATTCTCAGGAATCTCACTTGTTTAAGCAGAAGTTTGAAGCGTTTTCATTAGGTATCTTAGAATATTGAAGCAATGTAGTAGCTAAAAGAACTAAAATATTCATCTCTAGGGTTTTACACTTTGTATTTATTGTTATTATGAACCAGTACTATTTCTATATCACATTGATCCAAGTTTAAATCCTCAAAGTGCTTGAGTACATCCCACTTAATGTATTTTTTTAAAATACATTCTAGTGAATTGGGAAGTCCATGTAGAAGTTTTGCAATATAATCTGTTTACTGCAACTTTTGGCTCTTTTTGATCAGTGTAATAATGTTTTTCTAGATAGTTTTTCTCAAGGATTTGACATTGTTCATCTTTCAAACTGCTGGCTCTCAGATTTCTGGCTGGGAGGGTACTCCATTATTAGTTTTCATGGCTCTGATCCTGTCCTTGATAGCCTGAAAACTGTGTGTGTGAGTTAAATGATTATATGTGTATTTAATCATCATCTTCTGATTAAGAATGAGGAAACAATCAAATCATCTTAATGTACAGTCAGTATCAAGTTGTCTATGTGCTGGTGTTGCCTTCCTAGAACTGTAACGCTGGGTATGAATTTAGAAGTTACCCAGATTGAGGAAGCTGTTGGCTAGAGAGGTAAAATTACTTGATCAAGATCCTGCCCTTTTAGGAAGCCAATGAAAGCTTCCATTATAGTTCTATACAGGAGAGATGTAAGCATTGTGGAATGCACTACAGAATATAATTTACATTTTAAGTAGAGCCATCAAGTGATTTTGAGAAGCCTGAGACTTTTCTCATGGAATGATTTGGATATGAGCAGCGATCACACATGTCATTTGCTGAGCAGCTGTTGAAGCAGGCAGAGCATGATTTTGCCATTTGCTTTATATATTACATCTGGTTCCCGGAAAAATTTGAAAGAAAAAAAAATCACTGATGTTTGAAGGAAGTGCTTTTCTTTCCATTTCTTTCTTCTTCCTTTCTTCCTTATTTCCTTTTCTTTTTTATTTTATTTTTTCAATTTCAATCCATGACTTTTGGCTCAGGATGAATCTTAACTAACTGTTTAAGTGTAGTTGGGAAGGGAGGATGTCTTTCTTATAAAGTACCTTATAAAACCTACATATCATCAATAAAATGTAATCTTTCCTCTTTTATTTTTCTCTTTTTGAGATAGAGTCTGCCGTGAACTCTGTAGTTGTACCTGTCTTCTGAGTGTTGAATTTATATTGTGTGCTAACATGCCTGTCTTACTATGCAACTCGAGTTTAGCAGCGACAGTAGAACTGTAGAGAGTTTCATGGGTGATTGACTTACTTTAATCTTTGACCATCCCATGACCCAGAGATGGTGAGTCTTATCTATTAGGTAAAGTCTTAACCAAGTAGAGCCCTGAGAGGTTTCTCTCCATTCTTTGGCTGAGAGACATTAGAAATTCTCTGTATGGTACCAGTATTCTTTACTGCTTCATCTTATTTTGGTTTCATTGTACACCATTAAACTTCTGTTAGAAACCCTTTGTGTGTTTGTTTTAGGACCATTGTTTTACCTAAAACAAAACCCTCCTCTTACTAGGGAACCTACTTGGAGACTGAGCTGCCATGGGCTACATCTGTGCAAGGGTTCTAAGTTATCTCCATGCATGGTCCTTGGTTGGAGTATCAGTCTCGGTCCCCTGGTCCCAGACTTTTGGTTCTGTTGCTCTCCTTGTGAAGCTCCTGTCCCCTCCAGGTCTTTCTATCTCACCCTTCTTTTATAAGATTCCTTGCACTCTGCCCCTAAGTTTGGCTATGACTCTCAGCATCTGCTTTAATACCATGCTCAGTAGAGTCTTTGAGGCTTTCTGTGGTAGGCCCCTGTCTTGTTCATGAACTCAGTGGCTGGATCTTTGATCACCTCCCTCGAAAGAGGGAGCAACCTTACCAGGCCACGAGGAAACAATGCAACCACTCCTGATGAGACTTGATAGACTAGGGTCACATGGAATGGGAGGAGGACCTCCCCTATCAGTGGACTAGGGGAGGAGCATGGGAGGAGAAGAGGGAGGGAGGGTGAGATTGGGAGGGAAGAGAGAGGGACTACAGCTGGGCTACAAAGTGAATAAATTGTAAGAAATAAAAAAAAAAGAATAAAAAAAAAAACAAATAAACTCCTCTTTGCCTGCAACCTCACATTTACCTGCAACCTTTGCCGGAGACTCACATTTTCTTGGAGAATCCCTTCATTGAGTGATCTCAAAGCCACTGCCTAAGAGCTAAGGGTCTTCGTTGCAACCCTTAGCTCTTCAGAAGGAAAAATCCTTGTTATTAGGGTGCTTCTTCTGTCATGTAGAATAACCCCACTCGGTTGAAAATACATTTCTTTCATATATATATATATGTATATACATATACATATATACATATATATATGTATAAATACAGTAATACAGATCTTTGAATTGGTTATAGTACTTTCATTACATGTCCTCATCCTTTGTCCTAAAATGAAGCTGTCAAAAAATCACTATTGAGAAGTGAAGATGCCTCCCCCATAGTTCAATTGTTTCCCCAAGAAGCAGGAAAAGTACTGTCAGTTTATAAAAATGTTGAATACTTGACAATAACAGTCTCTTGCAGAAAAATGACTAAATTTATGGTATGTCTAAAATAATTTCCATCTCTTTTACACTCCAGGTCACGTCAGGTGGAACATTCATTGGCATTGGGCGGAAAACTCCAGATTGTCAAGGCAACACCAAGTATTTCCGCTGCAAATTCTGCAATTTTACTTATATGGGCAACTCATCAACTGAACTAGAACAACACTTTCTTCAGACTCATCCGAATAAAATAAAAGTGTCTCTCCCCTCCTCCGAGGGTGCGAAGACCTCAGAGAAGAACTCTAACAAATCCATCCCTGCGCTTCGAGCCAGTGACTCTGGAGACGTAGGAAAGTGGCAGGACAGGATCACAGTCAAAGCGGGAGATGACACCCCTGTCGGCTACTCAGTGCCCATCAAGCCTCTCGATTCCTCAAGACAAAATGGTACAGAGTCCACCAGTTATTACTGGTGCAAATTTTGTAGTTTCAGCTGCGAGTCATCTAGTTCACTTAAGCTGCTAGAACATTATGGCAAGCAGCATGGAGCATTGCAGTCAAGCGGCCTTAATCCAGAGTTGAATGACAAGCTTCCCAGGGGCACTGTCATTAATCAGAATGATCTAGGCAAAAGTGTAGAAGGAGAGCCATTGACCAAGCCAGAAAAGGGCTTGGGTGGGGCTAAAAAGAAGGACTTCCCCAGCAAGGGAGCAGAGGATAATATGGTAACAAGCTATAACTGTCAGTTCTGTGACTTTAGATATTCCAAAAGCCATGGCCCTGATGTGATTGTAGTGGGTCCACTTCTCCGTCATTACCAACAGCTCCATAACATCCACAAGTGTACCATTAAGCACTGTCCATTCTGTCCCAGAGGTCTTTGCAGCCCAGAAAAGCACCTTGGCGAAATTACTTATCCATTTGCTTGTAGAAAGAGTAATTGTTCCCACTGTGCGCTCTTGCTGTTGCACTTGTCTCCCGGGGTGGCCGGCAGTTCCAGAGTCAAACACCAATGCCACCAGTGTTCCTTCTCTACCCCCGATGTAGATGTGCTACTCTTTCACTATGAGACCATGCATGAGTCCCAAGCTTCGGAGGTCAAACAAGAGGCAAACCACCTGTTAGGATCTGATGGGCAGCAGGCTGTCAAGGAAAGCAAGGAACACTCGTGCACTAAATGCGATTTTATAACCCAGGTGGAAGAAGAGATTTCGAGACACTACAGGTAAGTTTTCTGGGGACCGAAGATACCAGGAGAATCTTAGAACCCGGAGAGTGGAGGCAGGAGTTGATGGGGCTGCATGTGGTGGGGCTGGATGTATAGATTTGCAGATGATAAGTTGGTTGATGTGGTGACTTCAGATTTTAATTTACTCACGTGTTCTCGCTCCCTGGGTGTAGAGTGCATTTTCAAGTTCTCAGTGATGATGATGATGGATGAATTTAATAATTTCGCAAAGCTAGTATGATGCTGCATCCTATAATTATTGAAGGGACAGCTCCCAAATTAAAGATTCTTTTAGAATGTGTGTGTGTGTGTGTGTGTGTATTTAGAGGAGGTTTATTTTTATTTTTAATAAAATTTTTATTTATATATATATATATATTAATTACAGTTTATTCACTTTGTATCTCAGCTGTAGCCCCCTCCGCCATTCCCTCCCAACCTTACCCTCCCTCCCTCTTCTTCTCTCATGCCCTTCCCCAGTCCACTTATAGGGGAGGTCCTCCTTCCCTTCCCTCTGACCCTAGCTTATCATGTCTCATCAGGACTGGCTACATTGTCTTCCTCTGTGGCCTAGTAAGGCTGCTCCCCCTTGGGGAGCATTTTGTTCTCTAGAATACATTTTATTCTCTAGAAACAATCAGTCTGAAAACATGTCCATTTTTTTTTAATGAGATTGGATGTTCTTCTCACTTTTCATAGTTGTGCAGAATTTTTGACTCATTGGTGTACAAACAAGAATATTGACCTGATATTTTGTAATGCACCTGAATTTGGTTGTATTGTCACTCCTTGGAGGCAGATAAAACATGTTATTTCAAATTCATTAACCTAGACAACACCACACACACACACACACACACACACACACACACACACACACACTCTTTTACTTAGTTGATTCTCCCTATAAGTTTTTTTTTCCCCTCCAGCTTACTGTCCATCCTTTCTAGAGATGATTTTACATTAAATATTCCTTTAACATACGTGTTTGCTACTTATTTTTAGCACTATATATTTTACCAGGCATTGTGTGTAGAGGAGTAAATCAGATAGGCACAGTCAGTGGCCATATGGAACTGACATTTTACTAGGGAGGACAAGGTACCTACAGATCATTAGGAGTGGGGAGCTGAGAAACGGAAGACTATGCTTGAGATGAACATCGTGAGAGCACAACTGAACAATGGCAAGTCAGGAAGTGCCGCCCCAAGGAAGAAGGCTTTAGGCTGAGATCTTATGATAAACTGGGATTATTATGCTTAAGCCTCAAAGAAGCAAGGTGTGCAGAGCTGAGAATTTATTGGTGCTTTATTATTATTCTACCTCTAACCACCAAAGTAAAGTTTTTATTTACTTTCTCCTTTTATATATTTACTTATTTTGGCATGGTCTTACCATAGCCCAAGCTGGAATACAGCTCACTGTAGACCCCATGTTGACCTCAAACTCCTGGGCAATGTTCCTGCTTCAGTGTTTTCCACCTGTTGAGATTAGAGGGGTGAGCCATTGGATTCAGCTTTTACTTATTATTTGAAATGCTTTTTATTTGTAGGTTCAATACCCTAGATTAAAAAAAAAAGTCTGCTTATTTCAGTTTTTATATCACAAGACATTCAACTATGCCTTTTGTTCTTTTTGCAAGTTCTATGTTAGTGGCATTGTATGTGTATCTTCTGAGTCATCAGTAATGAAGCAGTTCATGTCCAACAATAGGCCAATAATGTTAGATGTTAATTTGAAGGGCATCCTAATGTTCGCTGTGAATCAAAATGTTCAGAAAACACTTAGTTGAGATTTACACTGTTTAATTTATAAGGTCAGTCCTAGGAAAGACAGTGCTGCAATCAAATATGTGTTCACACTTGCAATGAGTGCTTCTGTCTTCTCTGATGATAGCTGCATGTTAATTCCTTTTTGGGTAACAAACACTAGCTTCTCCTCGCTTCTTATTAGTGTGGATGCACAAGCATGGATGAGTTTGTGCATATTGTACATATGGTGGGAAAGTGCTATAAAAATTTGAAGAGATTCTTATTACTTTCTTCAATCATGAGGGTAATGGAATACATATACAATATGCATATGTATGTCTGTGTGTGCATACGTATACCCGCCAGGCAGACACACACACACACACACACACACACACACACACACACACACACACAGCTAACTGGTATACCTAACAACTGGGTGATTTGGGCAAATGCATTTTCTCCAGGAGTCTAATCCATTACTAAAAGCTTTGTCTGAAATAAGCAGAGTATTTATGCTCTTCATATAAAGGAAATAATCTTTGAGGAAATGAACAACATGAATAAAGGAGATTTTTTAATAATGTCCAGATTTAGTTAATTCTTAGTAATGAAAGTAACCCCTTACCAGAAAGATACTATTCTTCCCTCGCTCACATGGTAGCTGCACAGTTTAACACATGAGCATGCATATATCTGGACAAATATCTTTATGCAAATGGAATTCCCAGGAGCATTTGCCTCCACAATAGTTTTCAATACTGACATCTCCAAGGTGAGTTACATTTTAATGTTTCATTACAGAGTTTTAGAGGATTTTGAGGAGCTAAGGGTATATGACAAAGACAGTTGCATGTTGGCTTTGAATCTCAGGCAAGCTCTCAGAATTTTATTAGCTAAGAAATTAAATAGAATGTGTTTTTAGGGCATTGAGTACTTAACTAATAGTTTTTAAATACTGCATGATTTTGTTGATCTAAGGACCTTTTACATTTTAGGTTATTTATTTACAATCTGAGCATCTTTATAGAATTGTTTGAAATTTAGAGCCTTATTATTTCAAGAGTCATAATTCCCTACTAGAAAGTATAAGGAAACAATGCTAAATGCTGGTCACATTGGATGCCTTAGGAATGTAAAATAAAATAGTTATGAAGGTGCTTAAAACTCAGTCAGCTATGAAAGTATTTTCTTCAAATGCCACTTTTAAAAAATAGAATAAGAGGTCATTTCATCTTATCTCAATTTTGTCTTTTTAGATTATTCTACATTTATTTTTAGTAGTCCTCTAGAGAATTTCTACTATCATTCTATGTTATTGTTAGGGAACATTCTAGGCTTTGAGTGCTTTATGTCCAAGAATGAGGGAGACTGCAACAAAAGTCAGCATGATTGTACAATCTGTGTGGAGTCATTTCCACCTGAAACAGAATTGATGCGAAACCCCGAGAAATCTCATTGTGGATTCCATAAGAACTTAGTGAAAATGGGTCAGTTAGCATCCTTTCTTAGTGTTTATGCAGACTTCTAATGTCCCCTAACTCACCTTGTCTCTGTCATTATATTCTGTGCATGACTCCGTTTTTCTTACTTCATGCCTTTTATTAATTATTTCTAAATAGATAGTGCACCATTTGCTATTGGTTAACATTTTATCTACATGTTTAGTGTTATCATTTATGCTTCAAACCTAAGTAGGACAAAAGCCTTCTTACAAAGCAATTGTAAGTAACTATTATAGTTAAAATATAGTTTTAATGCATTGCCAGACTTCCCCAAATTAAGGGGAATTTCCAAAGCTTATTCTTCACTAAGACTGCGTAAACCATCGTGAGGGAGAAGTGAAAAGTAAGTGTGGCATGTGAGGTTGCGCAGAGGACAAATGCCAATATGTCTGCTGGATTTGGCCAAGACTAAGGCATTGGGTCCTCTGAAGAGAGAAGGTGAAAAGAGGAGTTCCATTTTAATGCTGCTGCTGCTGAAATCATTTCCTCATTCAGTGCTCAACTATTGCCCTCAGGAATAAACATAAATATTTCTATAGAAAAGTACTTTATTATTATTATTATTATTATTATTATTATTATTATTATGTAGCTATGGGTTTAGGTAAGTTTTGTATGTTTTAAATATGCCTACTGTTAAAATTTTTGCTGGGTATCGATAACACTGTATGTGACAAAAGCAGAAAGCAAAAATGATAAATCAGAATCCTTGGTATCTGAATTTATCCTAGATTAGATACTTTTCAGTTATAACATTATTTTCGTGTGTTTAAAGAACAAAAGTTACTATTTAAAATTGGTCATGCAATGTGAAACTATTAATTACTGAGGGGAGCCAATGAATATATACCATTACTAATTAAAAAAGCATAGTCATTGAAAATAAGAAAAATAGAAGAACTGGCAGATTAGGTAATGATAAAGAGCCTACGGGTTAATCACAATGAGGCATTAGAACAATATTTTCTGAATAAACATTAATTTATTTAAATATTTAATTAGCTTAATGATTTGAAGTATGTGAGTGTTTTGTCTGCATGTTTGTCTGTGTACCGCTGGTTTGCTTGATGACCTCAGAGGCCAGAAAAGGGTGTGAGATTTCCTGTGTCTGGAGTTACAGACAGCTGTGAAACTCTGTGGGGATGCTAGAAAACAGACCTGGGTCTTTTGGAAAAGCAGCCGGTGCTCTTAACTGCTAGGCCATCTTTTCAAGACCAGAGAAAATGTTTTGAAGAGACAGCAAGGAATTAGACAATATAAAATCAGGTAACACGATGTGGAAATAAATCGAGATCTTTATAGTTATACAACTAATCAGGATCTTAGAGGAAGAAAAGAATAAAGAGAATGGCATGAATGGTATACAGCCAATGTTTGAGGAAAAAAATAGGGAGCAACATTTTTTTTTAGGACTCACTGATGAAAGATATAAAAACATAGATGCAAAGAAACATAAAACACACTAAGCAAAATATATACAAATAAACTTACCCATAAATATATTCTTACAAAAGTAAAAAAGCTAAGATCTTTTAGAGTAGCTGCAGACGACCAAAAAAATGAGGTACTTAGAAAAGAGAAGTTGTCTTATATGCTCTCATTAGCAAAGCTGAAAACCGGAAGCAGGAGGAATATTGCCAAATGAAATCAAACCAGTGTTGCTTACCAACCACCCAGACTGTCCTCTAAGAATATGAAAGTAAAGACATGTTCAGATAAGACCTGGAAAACATTTCTG